TCTGCAGGTCAAATAACCACTATCTACCCAATTTAAAGAGTTATATCAGCGATTCAATTTTTCTAAATGTTTTTTTTTTTTTCGCATTTGAGATGCTCTTACCGGCATGGCAGTTTTTAACAGAAAAGGGGCACTATTTGAGGACCACCGACAGCAGGTTAGTACGAGCGTCTGGGAACTGGACAGCGCTGCCGTAGCCGTGACAGACCGGAGCCAACGGGTCAATGCGGAGGCCTGTTTCTTTGACTTTTAAGATACGTGTTAAGTTTTAACTGTTACCATTATTTTTTATCTTGCAATTAAAAATTTCACTTTCATAACAAAAAAAAAATGTGAAAAAGCAATAATAAATTGAGATTTGATCTCTTTTTCGGCGGAACCGTTGATTGCGGTTGGAATAAAGCACGTCGGGACGCTCCTTTTGGACCGCATCTCCTTTTGTCATTTTCTTTTGTTTCTCTTTCCTTCTTTCCTTTTCGTTTTCTACTATGAAAAAAAACCAATATTACAACAGTAAAATAGTGTATTAATAACCTTTTATATTTACAATAATGTTCCTGTCCGCGTTGCTAAGATCTAAAACAAAAAAAGGGTACTCATGCCTGGATTACTTTTTTAGTCTAGAATTTAAAAAATTGAACTTCAATACCTTTTAAGTGATCTTAATGATGTACTCTCCATAGTGGTTTAATACCTTCGAGAAAAAGTCTTTTAAGAAATTATGTAATAATTTTAAAATTTAAACTAAAAAAAATACATATCTTTTAAAATATCAAGCCTAACCGCTTGAGATTATATGGACTACTAGTTATTTCACTAGGTACTTTTCTTAGGTTTAGATGCCACGGAAATAGTTTTAAAAAATAAATTCATATTTTTTAATGTTTTAATATATCTTAAAATAAAAAAATATTTTAATTTTTTTTTATTACACTTCCAAACAGTTGGTAATCTTTTTTTTTTAATCTTTTTATCTGCGGGAAGAAAAGTCACTATAAATAGGACAAAGGTGTGCGATTTTCCTAAATTTTGAAATTCACAGAAATGTCATGTAATTGACCTCTGCTCTGCATAAGGCCAGAAGGAGTTAAAAGGACCACTAAGAAGTGTTTTTAACTGGCAACTGTCGGCGACTCATGGTATTAATTCCAGGGAAGGGGGAAAATAAATGAGGGGTTAGTGTTGCCTGTCGAGTTGTCGGTGTTTCAAATCCTGGCTGGGGTGGTTACATGTCAATCCTCTTCAAAACTGTGTTGTAAGTAAGTTCAAGAGCATGGCCACGTTTTCATTATGCCTCACCAAATTTACTCTTGAGGTTAATATTGGGGCGTGAAATCAGTTGTTGCTCTTGTAATAACCCACGTTTCCGGTTGTTGGGTTGCTAAGATTTTGGTTGTTGGTCATGTTTTAGTTACTGGGGTAGTTCTAACTGAGAATTTTTGGACAGAGAGTTTTTTTTTAAATTATTATTATTATTTTTCCGAGGCTATAAAATCAGGTTAACAGCGTTAAAATCTAACGCTAAGAGCACGTTCGCACGAGGTGTTTTTGGTTTATGGGGGAGTTTTTGTAGCAAAAGTCAAAAATTGATATAAAAACATTTGATAGTCAAGAGTAATAAGTTACCATATAAAAAATTTGAACATTTAAATATTTTAAACATGAAATTATCTTAACATCTCAAGGCGCATGTAAAAACGTGGACCGTTAGTTTGTGTCCGGAAACGTGCGTGGAGCACGTTAAACATGGCTCTGGAGATTTTATAATTTCCACTTTACTTGCTGGTGCCCTGATGAACTGGGGGCGATCAGTGAGTAATGTGAACATCATATATTTTACTGGATGGGTTTCCACTCAGCAAGCAAAATGTACTTCAGAGGAGTTCCGATTTTGTCAGACCTTTTCTGCTGGCCATGATCATAATAATTAGGTTGCCAGCATGTGACCTGAACCGAAACTTCGTGGTGTTTCATAGCGGTTAGATGTTGAAGGTGAGAAACATGAATGCCATTTTTTCTTCTGGAAATTAGCAACAAAAGATTTAAAAATTGATAAACTAAAAAAATATTTTGAAAAATAGAGTAGCAGAAGAAAATCACGGTCCCCACCCTTGGGTTTTAAAAAAACCGAGGTGAGAACTGCGATTTTTTAAAATAGCGTGACCATTTTTCAGTGTAAAAATGTTTTATTTTAAATACCGCAGTTCTTATTTGCGGTTTGTTTAAATACCGTACTTTTCCAACTGTGTTTTTCATTAACTGTGCTATTTAAAAAAAACAAAATCACTGATACTATTTTCACAAAACTTTTTAACAACGGTCTGGAAAGGGAAAATATCCCATGAATGTTATTCCACGCACAAGTATCGAACTATAATGAACTATTGTTGTTATGATACACGAGAGAACTTACTGTGATTCCCCATTTTAATCAAAATAGTGAATTTTTTTCTCGTACTAGCCAATAATATACCCATGTTAAATTACATATATAACTTTTGACTAAGACATTAAGGTTGTTCGGGATGGCGTTTTCATCTTTGCAAATTGATTTTTCTGTAATGTTCATATGCTATTAGGTCTTTTTTAGTAATTTTCATTTTTATATATTAATAAATTAATTAAAAATTGATACGTGTTCTTCACTAGTTGTTCTAAAGGTGTATGAGATATATTCAAGTGTTCAAAAACTTTCAATTGCCATCTCATCCAATCGGTTAGGTGGTGGCACGGTTCCTAGATCGACGTGTATTGTTATTTTGACAGCGATTCCATAATTATGAAGGTTTTTTTTCCTCATCTTTTTTTTTTCTTTTTCTTGAATATTGTTTCTATGCATAGTTTTTAAAAAAATAATTGTGTCATATAGTTTATATTTATTTTGAATTTGATTATCATTTTTTTTATTGTTTTTATTAGTTTAATTTTAATTTTATCATTTTGAATCTAATATAAATTTATTAGGTTCTAATTTTAATCCTTTTTATTGTTTTTTTATCTTTTTTTTTTAATTTAATCCATAATTAGTTCCTTTCAATTATTTCTTATGTATGGTTTAGTACTTACTGTTTGGATTTTAATTTTAATGTTTTTTATAATTTATAATTTTACTTTATAATTTTTATTTATTTATTTTTTATATAATAATTATAGTCTTATGACCTGATTTTCTAGTTTTGATATTAAACTCGATTTAAATTTAATTATTTGATAAAATATTTTATAATTTATTTTTATTTGTACCGTTTAACATTAGCTTGTTAGGCCTTAAATTTCATGATTTATTCTATTTATTTATATTTTATATTTCTGGTTAGAAGTTAATTAAGTCAACTAGTTGACTTGAATTTTTTTAGTTTATTTTTTTATTTTTTATTAAATCATTAACCATTAAGTATATTTTATGAAATATTATTTGAAAAAAAAGCGGTGATGCGTGCAGCGGTGTCATGAATGATAAATAAACACCCACGTATAAGTTTATTGTGTAAGTATAGATGAATGATATGCACAGCGCAGCACCGGTGTCATCTGGTTTCCTGCATTGTACAATAATTGTCGATGATCCATTTATTGACAAACGCATCATCTTCTCTACAACTCACGATGCACGCCCCGTAAGAGTTTCATCAAAGTTTTATAGTTATGTATGGGCCAATAATTACTTGCTGGCTAGAAATAATCTGCTGTTTTAGGTTAATTTTCCTGTATATCGATTATCAAATTGCATGTTACAGAGGCCATGAAATCGAGGATGGGATGAGAAGAGGAGAGTCCTTTGATGATGATATGATTAGATTTTATTTTTTTGTCAAGAAAAAGGAATGACAAGAGAAGAGATGAATACTTTTAAAAAAATATAAATTTTAATAATAATCTATACCTTTTATTAGATGAGTGCCTTCGAGCGTATTTTTACTTGATTTTTATTTGAATCTCAATTTTGATTGTTATTATTAGGTTATTTTAAGAAAAATAAAAGAGTTGAAAGGAAAAATAAAACGAAATAACATGCAATAAAAGCTTTTAAGTATAGTCACTTCATCTACAAAATTAATAATTAAATGGAAAAAATCGAGTTAATAAATTATAGCTTAATTCATGTAATTGATCAAACTATTTTTTAGAAAGTCAAAACTTTTCTTTAAAAATAAATTAAATGCATTGATTCCTATATTATTTGAATATCACATTATGCTTTTTAAATATCTTATACATGTTAAATTGTTTTAAATTAATATTATCACATTATGCTTTTTAAATATCTTATATATGTTAAATCGATTTAAATCAATACAAAAAAATGAATATAATAGAATTTTTATTAATTGTTTATTCTAAAATGCATATTTTGGTCTAAATTTATATATAGACTAAACTAGAAGTTCCATTCTATTTTTTGATAAATAATACAAGATAAATGTATTTTTTTAACTATATTCACATATTAATCTACGAATAAAGTAAAATTAATTATAGCTAATAAATATTCGACAAGCCCCCAGTCAAGCATGCAAAAGGCAAATCAGGACATTGTAGAAAATTCAAATCAGGGGAGACAGCAAGGACAATCTCGTCCAGAGCCTTTTCTGACTCATCTACCCTGCAAATCACTTTCCCTATTTCTTCTTTTAGTAATTTTTAACCTCTCTGTGTGTGTGTGTGTGTTTTTTTTAATCACCAAGCTCCAATTTAAATAATTAATCACTGTCTGTCTAATTAATCACTGTCTGTCTTTTTTTTTTTTCCTGACCTTTTCAGCGTGTATCTTAATTCCAAAAAACTCCATTAAATCCACACCGACCCTTGCAGGGAAGACCCGAAGGGCACCCACATGCCTTCGTTGTTTTCTTAACTGTTTCTGTGTCTTTCCAAAAGATAAATAATTCTTAAAATAAAAATAAGTTAAATTAAAGGAATAATAAAATAAATTTCATCAATCGGGCCCTGCCAATTTTTAGGCTCTTGGCACCTTCCTCCCCCTCCTCAATATATACGTGCTTTAGCACCTACAATCCCCCTATCCCCTCCTCTCTCTGCACTTTCTCTTTTCATGGTCTTGTTGGTTTATCAGAAGTTTTAGTTGATAAATTACACCAACATTGCCATTGCCTTTCTTTAATTCCACCATAACTAACACACTCCTTGGTGGGATTAGTGGCAAGAAAAAGATCCCCCTTTTGTAATTATCGCAAAAGAGATCTGTTTCTCTCTGTGTTTTTGTTTATACATTCACCAGACTGTTAATATGGTGAAGTTTGCGAGGCTCATTTCAATGGCTCCTTTGCTATTGCTTCTCTGTTTCCCTCTTGCTTTTGCCGGTCATGACTATGGTCAAGCTTTAAGTAAGAGTATTCTCTTCTTTGAAGCTCAAAGATCTGGTTACCTCCCCCATAACCAGAGGGTGACATGGAGAGCTAATTCCGGTTTGAATGACGGCAAGGCTAGTGGGGTAAGCTTGACATCCTAATGGGTTTTTTCTGCTTACATTGTCCAGTTGAATTTTCTTTGTCACCGCAAAAAATACAATGTGTTTGATGGTTTAGACTGTATTTTTCTAATCGCAGGTGGATCTGGTAGGAGGGTACTATGATGCAGGGGACAATGTGAAATTCGGCTTGCCAATGGCATTCACGATTACCATGATGTCATGGAGCATAATTGAATACGGGAAGCAATTGGGTTCAAGTGGTGAACTGGGCAATACCATGGATGCTGTTAAGTGGGGAACTGACTACCTTATCAAAGCTCACCCTCAACCCTATGTTCTTTACGGAGAGGTAGCTTTCATTCCTTTTCCCCTTTCCCAAAATTTATTTGACTACTATTCTCTTGGCATCTCTTTTTCTAGCCCAACTTGCAAAGTTGCAAGTGCAAAAATATGCTAAAGAACTTGTTCTCCTACACATCAAGGATTTTTCTTGGTTTTATTCATTTCCTTGTTCTTGACTAAAACCAAGAAAACTTGGATCTCAAATCTGACCTCGTTTGCAGCTCAAGTTATAAAGTGTAACCCAGGATGGAGAGTGTGCAGATTATCAAATTAAATCATTTCATAATGACCACCTATTTCCGGGAAACAATTTCTTTCTTTATTAATTTCACAAATTCTTTTTGGGTTGCCTTTTTCATTTTGTCCTTTTCAAAGAGATTATATCTTGCTTTAACTGGAACTGATGCCCCATTAGACCATAAACAAAAACAAATTAAATAATTGGCACCACTAATAATTTAATGTCATGTCTTGTAACGATTTTCGTTGTTTTCTTGATAAGGTTGGGGATGGCAACACTGACCACTACTGCTGGCAAAGACCAGAGGATATGACCACTGACCGTAGGGCTTACAAGATTGACCCAAGCAATCCTGGGTCTGATCTTGCTGGTGAAACAGCCGCCGCAATGGCCGCCGCTTCCATCGTTTTCCGCCACTCGAACCCTACCTATGCCAATGAGCTCCTCACGCATGCGCATCAGGTAAACTTTTTTCTCTTGGCGTATTTTAGCAAAGCTGTTTTTCACTGTTTGCGAATAAAAAAATACGGCAGTTAATATCAGCAAAACTCTTTTTTTTTGGTAAGTAATATCAGCAAAACTCGAAGAAGAGAACAACGTAGGAAATTAATTAAATATAAGATCACTTTTCGCCCAATCAGGATCTTGGGGTAATGCTTGCCCGCCAATCACGGTCACTGTCTTATGACCGTATATATTAACCGTACTCGAAGATCTAAACCGTCCACGTGTTACGATCCATTTAAAGTGTAGATAGCTGTGTCCTTGTGTCACGAGATAACTTTGTCGGTGGTTTCCTCTCCCTTGACCCACACCACACAGTATTATCATCCCATTCTCTTCTAGCATTTTCGATTATTCCCTAAGTACCCTTCATTGTATATTAAATTATATATTAACTACCACTGATTTTTTTTTCTTTTGCTTTTTTGGTTTTCAGCTATTTGATTTTGCAGACAAGTACAGGGGTAAATATGACAGCAGCATTTCTGTGGCCCAGAAATATTACCGGTCTGTTAGTGGCTACAACGTAAGTCAATAAATTTGAAATTGATCAAGAGTTTGTCATGTGTTACAACAAGACTGCTAAAATATTAATCCATGATGAAATCATTCGTGATTAGTTTTTTCCCTCCTTAGTTGCTGGTACGTGTTCTCATGTTTTATTTTGATTTTTTGGTTTTTAGGATGAGTTGCTTTGGGCAGCTGCTTGGTTGTATCAAGCAACTAACAATCAGTATTACTTGGACTACCTCGGAAACAATGGTGACTCAATGGGTGGAACTGGGTGGGGCATGACTGAATTTGGTTGGGACGTCAAGTATGCTGGAGTCCAAACTCTTGTTGCCAAGGTTTTTGTCTCTAGATCTGACTTCAATTTTGATGACCCATCAACGAACATTTTTGTTGTCTGACTAATCGGAATATTTTTCGTGCTGCAGTTCTTGATGCAAGGGAAAGCTGGCCATCATGCACCAGTGTTTGAGAAGTACCAGCAGAAGGCTGAGTACTTCATGTGTTCATGCCTGGGAAAGGGTACCCGCAATGTTCAGAAAACTCCTGGTGGTCTAATTTACCGCCAGAGATGGAACAATATGCAGTTTGTGACCAGCGCTTCATTCCTGGCTGCTGTCTACTCTGACTATCTTGCTTCTGCTGGTAGAAACTTGAATTGCGCTGCTGGCAATGTGGCACCATCCCAGCTTCTCACTTTCGCGAAATCTCAGGTAATCTAATCGCTTGAAATCAAGTAATTTATTGGATTTCTTTTTTGTTAAAGAATTACTTACGTAAGTATGCATTTGAAGCACTGCTTATGAGACGTTTATTCAAAACTCGCAGGTGGATTACATTCTTGGAGACAACCCGAGAGCTACTAGTTACATGGTTGGTTACGGAAACAACTATCCACGACAGGTTCATCACAGGGGTTCTTCAATTGTTTCCTATAAGGTTGACCCTACATTTATTAGCTGCCGTGGAGGTTATGCCACTTGGTTTAGCAGGAAAGGAAGCGATCCAAATCTCCTCACCGGTGCCATTGTTGGTGGCCCAGATGCCTATGACAATTTTGCTGATGAAAGAGACAATTATGAGCAAACAGAACCTGCTACCTACAACAACGCTCCTCTTCTTGGTTTATTGGCTCGGCTAAGTGGTGGTCATGGAGGGTATAACCAGCTCCTTCCAGGTATATATATGTGTGTGTGCCGCGCTATATGGCCAGTGGTTTCATTTTCTTGTTCAGTGTAGAGGAGCTCAATATAATGATTTTTTATGGCTTATCTTGCAGTTGTGGTTCCAGGTCCTATTGAAAAGAAACCAGCACCACAACCAAAAGTTACTCCAGCACCACAACCTAAAGTAACACCAGCACCAGGTATAATTCTCTGTTCATGCTAATTATGGAGAAGAATTACCCCTCTGAGGTCTAAACTGTTAACTGTTAATGTATCTGCGGGGAACGTGATTTCCTCTGATTAGTGAAGGGATAACTGAGTGTGTCCATTTTATAGCGTTACAAAGCTCTAACTATAGAGTTTATCTTGCAGCTTCAACTTCTGCTCCTATTTCCATTGCGCAAAAGATGACAACGACATGGATAGCCAAGGGAAAAACTTACTATAGGTATTCTATTACCGTGACCAACAAATCTGCCAAGGAACTAAAGGATATCAAGCTTTCAATATCTAAGCTTTATGGTCCTCTCTGGGGTCTGACAAAATCTGGAAATTCTTATGCGTTTCCATCATGGATTAGCTCTTTACCTGCCGGAAAAAGTCTAGAGTTTGTCTATATTCATTCTGCATCTGCTGCAGATATCTCTGTTTCAAGCTACACTCTGGCCTGAAAAAGGAAGGAATTCAATTACGGAAGAGAAAGGTTTCCATGGTTTCTGGGTTTGTAATGCAAGAATAGTGCAGTTATACAAAATATGCAGTCCAGAAAGGTCGGTTTTTTTGCAAGAATAGTGCAGTTATACAAAATATGGAGTCCAGAAAGGTCGGTTTTTTTCTTTTCTTTTGGGGATTATCAACATGTTGATTCGGTATCAGCTTAGGGTTTTAGTCATATAAAGGTTAAATAAGGTCGAAGGATGGAGGATGAAAGGAGTGAAGAGACAAAGTATAAAGGGTGCTCATCCTCTTTCTCCTCTCACTTCATTAGTTATATAGATAGGTCTGAGAGACAATTACAGAGTGAGAGTTGGGAAGTCAAAAAGGTGACTTCACAATTTATTGCTACGGGTGCTTTCTTTCCTTGCACTTCAAGCAGCTTTGAATCTTTTTTCTTTTTTTGGATTGTGATGTATCTGCAACATTTGTTTAAATTTCATATGAATATAATTTCTGGTTTGACATTATGGACACTCTTGCCTTCTACTTGAAGACCACACACTAAGAGCAAACCTTTTCACTTTATTACCACTGGGCTTTGCATATTTGATTTTGGACTTGATATCATATATGGCAATGGATCGGATGAGATGAGGATTTTGTGTCGGATTTTGCTACATCTTATGCCGAGTTGAAGGATCCATATGCATCCCTAACCCTCTACACGATCAGATCCGGTCGGTTGAAATTTTGTTCTAAAAGACATTTCATCCCTCCAAAAACTCTTAAAACAGTAAAACTCTGAAAAAGAAAATGGCACAGCTAAAAACGATCAACAGATGCTGCTATCAGCCATTGCCAATTCAGCTGGCATTGCCGCTGCCTCTGCAGTAGAACTTCCATTATACGTTGTATTCTTCTGGAATCCTTCGCTTTATTTGACCATCAAAGAGCTTTCTGACAACCTCGCAGGCTACCTCGTTTGTAAAAGCATGCCATAAGCCATCAGTTGCCATGACAATAAATTCGTCTGAATCCGTTCGCTCACTTGCTGTAACCTCCGGTTCAGATATCACAAATGGCTTCAAATATTGATCGCCTGAATAAGAACAAAATAACAACACCAGCAACAAGAACAACAACAACAACACATTACTATCCATTTCCCAGTTCTTCAGCTAAACTACATTCCTTTTTTACTTAATGAGGCCCAGTGGAAGAAAATATACTGTAAGAATGAGGCCCAGTGGAAGAAAATATACTGTAAAAACTTCTTTAACGATTTTTCTTCAAGTAGAATTACAGGATCATCCAGCAATCAGTTGGTGAAAATAATGAAACAAGCCTTGTAATTGTTTACCACGAGTCTTGCAGGATGGACAAAAATGGCACAGGCTACTATATATCCCACAAATTAACTTGTAAGATAACTAATACCGCAAATTAAGGATTAATTAATTACATCATCCGTATTGACCTTGAAGTGGCAAGGACTCCTACGACGCGGCTACCATTCCAGTTCATGACACGTCCGCCTTCTGCTTCCACTCTCTCTCGTTCATCTGGCCTGTCAGGCTGCGCAAAGCAATCAAGCACTCGTGTAAAATCCATGCAATCAAATCATTTTGCCACATTTCTAGGAGTCGCCAAACTGTGGCAAAATTAAGTTAGCATTCTGGGCGACCTCCAGATTTTCATAAGCTTGGTCCCATGTATTCTCCATGAGACTGCCACCATCGGTTTCGAGCTTAAAATTTACGTAGACGCGTACGCATATTTACCATTTCGTTTAAATGAGAAGACAAAGCAATTAAAGCCAGCAATGTTACCTATAGTTCAAATTATATGAAAAAAAAAATGCAATAAAGTACATATGCATATATAACTTCATTTGTTTTGACATTGCAAAAGCAAAAAAAAAGAAAAGAAACGGCATTCTAAAGTCAAATCTATTTTAAGGCAGTAGACATAACCATCCAAAAAAAAAAAAAAAGAAACGGCATTCTAAAGTCAAATATATTTTAAGGCAGCAGACATAACCATTAATCACACATAATGTGAATTAGTATACTTAATAACTTTTTTATAATGGTAATAACAGGCGCCTTATGATCATGAGCCGAAGGCACAGCCACGCCGCTGCGACACATAACCGCCCTTGAATCCCCCACAACTCGCCCCGCCACCATCTCCTCTTTCCCCACCATCACCACCACTGCTGTCGAACCCATATTCTTAACTGACAATACTCCCTTCCCTGTCTCCACGTCTCCTCCGCCACTCTCGTTGTCGAGCATCAGCTCCTCATCTATTTTCTCAAAACACGCTCCCATCAACTTCTTCCAGTACTCCAATCCCTTGCCCCAGCCAATCCTCTCCCCTTTCGCCACCTCCTTCGCCACCAGCTGGTGGATCCTATCGCTACAAGCGTTCGCCACCCTAGCGCCACCATACCCATCATAAACCGCTAAAAAGTCATACCTACCAAATTCACCAATAGCAACACTGGGGACCATTGTGACCGCATCCGATCCTCCATCACTCTCCACCATCCGATAACCGACATCATCCCATGCGATTTGCACGTTACAGTCTCATCTTCATCTTCCTCTCCATCGCTGCCAGCCTCTACAATTCCAAGCGGTTTAATTGCCACCAGCTGTCCTTTATCTTAACAAGAAGATATTGATGACGGTGATAATGAAGAGTACTTCTCTAAATTCTGCTGCTTAAAGTATCGATCAATCTTGGATTCTTTTACTGGAGTTTGCAGGTTTTGCTGCTTCACAGGATGTTACTTCTTTGATGCCTCTGATCTTCTTGGTTGTTGCTTCATCAAGTAAAAAACCTATTGATTGAACAAGTAGCAGCAGAGCCATGGTTTGTTTCGCGTCCAATCTTCTCCTACGGCAGTTTCTTGATATCATGACTTGGATTTTGCTGCTAATATTGCTAGAAGTAGTAGAATCTGCCATCATTATAGCAGAAACCCACTCATAATTACCACAATATTTCTTAATTTTCTTTCACTTGATAGAACAGATACTAAGATGAGGGTTCAGCATTCAGTTTCCTTAAAAAGGGATAGAGGATCGGTGCGTCAGAGAAATCTGTACTGTCTAGAAAAGGCAGGACTTTAACAGGTGAGTTGGGTTTTCCAGAAAAGGACGTAGACGGTTGAGATACAGAGGACATACGTAAATACGGCATCGATCCATTAAAGCTAGCGGTTGGATTTTTGGCGGGAGTGTTTTATTTGGAAAAAGTATAAAAATTAGAAAGGTTGGGCTAAGCATCTAGAAGTTAAAGATTGACCATGGATTGGGGCCTCAACAACATTAAAGAAACGGCCGTTTATATATATATATATCGTTTTAGATTTATTTACTAGGGATATACGTAATGGTTGCGAGTTGGAAAAAAAAAATCATTTTATTATATTTTGAAGAAAAAACTATTTTAAAAAATAACTTGTAACACAATCTCTTCCTCGTCGTGGCTAAGCCTTCCTGGGTTAGCTGGTCCTGAGATTTGAGACTCAAGCTGGCATGGCTCGAGCGTACAGGAAGGAATTTCTGTGATGTGATTGGGATGGACGTTACCCAATCATTCCAACTTAGGTCAAAGAAAGACGATCATGAAGTTTATATAACATTCATTCACCGAGGGCATTAAAAAAATATCTGTCATTTTCCATTGTCATCCAAAGCAAAGATGCCAGTTTCAATACAAATTGCAAGCTCTATAAATAGAAATAACTTTATGTACACAAACAAAAAAATATGAAAACAAAAATGTAAATTGCATCATTGATCCTGCTGAATAGCGAAGTTATCAAGATCCATAAAGTTAATTCTTAGGCACTGGGCTTGCTTGCACTCTTGTACATGTTGTCGATAACATTCTGTGCAAAGAATTTTGAGTTAGTAACTTTCCACCAAATAAATTTGCCATTGACAAATAAAAGATTACGAGCGTTCTTTAAAGAATCGATGCATGGCCTACACTAAACAGGATGGTGAGAACCAACATCTATGACCATCAAGATAGTTAACCATGTTGCTTATATTGCACAAGGGGGGGAAAACATGGTGATTTATGACACTGCCAGTCCAAATTTCAGTCGATAAACTGAAATGAAGACAGTCCATATTAGAAGGAATACAAACAGGTCTCATTGACCCCCCCAAAATATAAAAAAGGGATACCTGGTAGTATTTGAGAAGTTGGGGCCTCTTTTTCTTGTATGTTGGAGTGATGAGATCACGCTCCATGTCAAATGGCTCAGGATCGAGGTGAATAGCTTTTATAAATTCAAAGCCCTTCAACTGCCAAAAGTGGTATTTAGGAACACAAAAACTGTTCAATTAGCTCTAGAAGATGAAAACTATCTCGTTCAATAGGTTAAAAAGAAAGATATACTAAAAGCAAACTCAGCAGGAACCTTCTTTTCTTTCCCAATCTTGGTGAGCTCTCCGAGTATGTACTCTTTTGCCCTTGGATTTTCACAAAGGGATTTAAAGTCCCCACCTATACCATGCTCTTGAGCCCAATGTTCAAGTGCTTGCTGATTGGGGTTGGCAACAGCAATAAGGAATGATTCAAAGCTGTTCCCATAAACCCATATCTGAAATTAAAACACGGAATGATTGCATAAGCAAGCAATGGAAACCTGTAAATTCACAACTAAAGCAAATAGATATCTCTCTCGCCAATAATAGACTAAACCTTTCACATGATACATGAATATTTAGAAAAATTAGAATTAATTAGTGCCGTATTTATGAAAGGGACTAGCCATCAAGAAATTAAGATATTTCCTAGTCAACAGTTAAAAAAATATCATTTTCAGTATAACAGTGTCAATCAAATAGAAAGCATGCTCAGAAAATATCACATTCGTGGACATGCTCAGAAAATAAAAAATCCCAAGCATCAGAAAGGCGTACCGAATCAATATCAGATACAAGACTATAAATGTTCTCCAAGTTTTCAACAGCAACATATTCTCCTTGTGAGAGTTTGAATATATTTTTCTTGCGATCAATAATTTTCATACTTCCATCAGGTTGCCATTCACCAATATCCCCTGATGAAAAGATCATCATGAAAATGGTAAGACTAAAAAAAATTATAAGCATCCAAAATCAACAAAGGAAGGATATAGGAAAACCTGTATGGAACCACCCATCATTCAGGACCTCTTCAGTGAGGTCTTCACGTTTATAGTAACCTGCAAAAAGGGTCTTCCCCCTAATACAAATTTCTCCACGTGGGGTGCTTGAAAGAGCATCATATCCCATCTCAGGAACAGATTCTAGGCAGACATCCACATTTGGTACAGGAGGGCCCACTGTGCCAAGCATTGGCAATTCATTTGGTAGTGAGGCAAAAGTCCCAGCACAGGTTTCAGTCAGACCTGCATCCATTCAATTGCAAATATTTCAAGTCCTGGCATCAGTAAATTATAACCACAAATAATCTAACAGCAAAAGAAAAATGAAGAATTAGAAGACTAGTATAGCTTGCATCAAACAATATGGACAACGTACCATATCCTTGCAGAACATGAGCACATGACACCACTCGCAGGAAAGCTCCGACATGATTAGAAAGAGGTGCTGCTCCAGATAAAATAAGCCGCACTTTTCCTCCCAACCCTTGCCTCACCTAAGATACAGAGCCAATGAGAGTTGAGTAAGCATAATTTTATAACAAATACTATTATGAGGTTTGGATCTTGAGTTAATCAGGATAGAAGAATCATCACCTTATTAAAGACAATTTTGTCACAGATTGGAGATGCTTTGTGGTGTGCAATCCCTTTCTTCATAGAACTGAATTTGCTGCAGTAAATTGTAAAAAACAAAAATTAAAAACTTTGGTAGTCCTGTGATCCCACCAAGACAGTTTGCCAAATGTACCAACAAAAAGGGACAAATCTCTATCTCTTTCTCTGAGATTAAGAGATGACTATGAAATTCAAAAAGAAAACCCAATCATGGATTGTTATCCAAAACAAGTACTGGAGTGTGGAATAGAACTTACTGTGAGTATGCTACATTGAACAATGTCTTTTTCAAAAAACCACCAGCTGAAACTTTCTGCTGCAAGCCTGAAAATGTGCACAGCAGTTATGATAGTGCTATTGTGGGAGACAGAATAAATATGCTTTTAATTTGTGATATAATGACACCAAAGAAAAAAACATTCAAAGAATTAACTCGGTCCATTCCTCAAATTGAACAAGTTGAAGATATGTAACAATTCTGGGGCTGTATTTTATCTATTCATTTGAGCATGCAAATGAAACATTGTAGTGATAGCATTCCAAATAAACCCAATCTCAGTTCTTATGGTGCCTGGAGCACCATCCAAGCACAAAGCAAATGTTACTTTAATCCACGCTCAGATGCCACTATAATTAAATTTTGCTACTAAATGAAAGGTGGCAAAAATTTCAAGAATGGTTGGTTAGAAGAGAAAATCTACCAGAATAAATTCTCTCTAAAACACGGGGCACAGCACAGAAAATAGTTGGTTTCAGCTCCCCAATGTCCTCAATCAATAATTTTACATCCTGTAAATTTGTGACAATAAACATTTCATCATATTGAATGCTTCTTTAGTGCAGCTGATAGTCTTACCATCCCAATCACCACCAAAATTGGGGACACCCATTGCATACTTGGCAATGGCATCATTCCAATTTTAAAGGGAAAAAGAAAAAAAGAAAAAAAATAGCAAAAGGGTTTACCCCTCGCCAGAACCCTATACAGGCACCATGTTGAATAAATAACTCCTCAATCACCCGATCAAATATATGAGCAAGGGGAAGGTATGAAAGGTATACATCCTCTGAAGTCAACTGCAAATTGTAAAAGAGTCAAGTGTATCTATTGGGTAGAAAAAGGACCAAACAAATTAAGCTTTACACTGCTTGCAACTATAACATCCCAAGAATATAAGAGAAAAGGAAGATTACCGATTCTTTCACACTTTCTAATAGCCTTTTCACCCCAGCTATAAGAGTGACAATGCTGTCATTTGAAATCAGCACTCCCTTTGGGTCACCAGTTGTTCCACTAGTATACATTATTGTACAGATATCCTCTTTCTTCTTCACTGGGAATTCATATTGTTTATTCTCCCCCTGCAAGGAACATATACAAAGACCATTACTCATTGGTCTCATTTAAGTATAAATCAAAATCAATTACTATGAATAAATATTAAAAGCTAAGAAGAAAAGGCATTGTATAGTGGTTAATCAATGTCAATGCACATTAGATAAATAAATTGCCATGGTATCAGATTGATCTAAAACTCCATCCATGCTTTATTACTGGTGTTTTATGAAACAATCAGTGAGATACTAGAATTATTTCTTGCAAATTGCAAATCAAGGAGATGACACCCATCCATGAAAAGTACGAACAGATTTACGTCTCAAGTTTGCAAGGTAACAGTTGAGATACAATACGGTACTGGTCATGAAGCATGCTTGCTACCACAAAATTCCACATAAACATTTGGGATACAATACCATTCACAGAATAACTTATCTTAAAATGCATTTTCTAGCTCAAAATTTACTGCTATTGATACAATAAATAGATGGAACAAAGTTATTATGATAGACTAGCTTACCAGTTTTAAAAACTCATCCCAAGAATATACTGCCAAGCCAGATTTTTCAATCTCTTCTTGCTCTTTGAGAGCAACCTTGCCAAAGCTCACAATTGCTGCATGAGGAAATATATGATAAAATCATTTCTTAATAACGCGAGTAAACAAAAAAAAATTGTGAAGGAGATTAACTTACTTTTCAAGTACTGTGTAGAATTAGGAAATGTTTTCAACAGCTGAAACGACAGTGGAAACCACAGATCCATAAGAACAATATCACCATGTAAGATTATGATTCTTAAAGAAACAGTACACCGACAAAAAGGATAATAATTTCAAGAAGCCATTAAGAGAAGCAGTGTCATCAATTGA